ACCTAGTGTTTCTGTGATTCTGTGATTATTCTGTGTACTTATTCAAGTTAGATGAACACAGATGCAATTCCAAAATCCCATTTTATTCCATGTTTCTTGTTTTTGTCTTATTGTGGCAAAACTTGCAGTAATGAAGTGTATAAATATTTCTTTAGTATTCACCTAAGTGCAGTTAGTACCAAGAGCCATACTGTAAATATTTCCAGCAGAGCAACTGCCCTTCTGAGAATTTCTAACCCAAAAAGAGGCTGTAAATGAGTAATGAGGAGCTGGTGAGTACTCTCAGGAAAAGCTCATGAGACCTTCATGTGGAATTACCGAAATCCACGGAGGAAATGGGGACATCACCTGAGGAAGTGGGGTATTTGTCTGCTACTGTGAACATAAGCTGAAGCTACTATCCCATTTTAGTTTTACTTGGGGCCTTTTTGGAAATACAGTTTGCACACCTTAAGGAATAGGTGACTAAGGTATGGTTCTCCCCTTTCTTCTCCTAGGAGTAAGCGCCAAAGCTACTCAGCACCTTGGAGAGTCACGATGTCGGTTTTTATTTCAAACCGGAAAGCCAGTCTCGCCTGCGTGTGGGATGCGGTCTGAAGCAGGAGGGGATTAAATTCTTTCGTACAGTTCAACGGTAGGGATTGGCGCTGCCTCAGAAGAGCATGTGGCATGCCAGGTCTGAAGCATGCAACTGGGATCGCTGAGGAAGGAAGTGAGATGTGCCCTGTCTCACTGGGCCCCTGGGACCAAGAGGGAAATGTTCCCTGAAACAGGAGGGGACTGGGATGTGCCCCAGCAGGGCTCTTGGCCCTTTCCCAGGTGAAAGAGCAGGAGAGCTTAGTTGACCATGTAGGTCAGCAGATCAGTGAGGTTTGGTTGGTTTTGTCAGAAGGCAGCTGCACAGTCTGATGTACTTACACTTGAATGGACTTACCCTCTGACTACTTTATTTTCCTCTGGCTGAGACTGAAGTGTTTGTCTTTCCTGCTCTTTGGATTTGTGTATTCAATGTTTAAATTGGCTGATCAGCCTGTTGTACTCGTGATGGCTTCAGAGGGAGTTTCCTTTGAATTAGGACTCTTGGATGTGGATCTCTTGTTTCCTTGACAATCCTTCTGCTGGGGGCATGTCTTTTTAGTGAACTCAAATTGAAATTAAAAAGTGCTGGAAAAAACATTTTATTCTAGTCTAGTAAAATGCAGCTTATTTAAGTGGTAAAAGGAGCATTTGTGGCCCTTCTGCACATGATGAATTCTCCATTTGCAATCTGTTTTCACTAGTTTCACCATAATTCAAATATGTGTCTAATAGTTCTGGGTTTATAGCTGAATGAAGGAGGTATAGTTGTGTCTAACTTTTGAAAAAGTTGATTAGTGCTTTAGCTTATAAACATTTTAACAATCAATGCTTTAAAGAATAAAAAGCATCTCTAGAGCTCTGATTCCGTAAGGATCTTAAAGGTGATGGTTCTTGGTGGTGTATTTACAAAAAAAAGAAGCAAAAAATGAACAAAAGTTATTAGCCTCAAGTTTAGACAACTGTCCTAACGCTCCTTATATTCATCACTCAGGTTCACTCATTTTATCACTATGCTACTATTTCTTTCAATTAATATTAGAAACTGCTTTGTTTATTCAGCTACTTGGATTGGAGCTTAATAATTTAACTGCTCTTAGAAATTAATTGCAAATATAAATATAGCTTTTTAAGGATTCATTATCTCAGCTAAGTTTATTATGTTGTTGCTTTGCAACTTTTTGTTGCTTATGAAAGCCCAATTACCAGTTCTTTCGCAGTTTGGTTTAGTACTGCAACGGTCGGTAAAAGACTTTGATCTTTGTTTTTATTATGAGGTTTTTAACAATTACATTTTACCCTTCCCTCAGAAACAGCATGTGCAAGGTTCTTTAGCTTGGGGAATTCAGCTATAGGGCTTTTAAGACATTTGGATGTTTGCACATCTGTAAGGATAAATATTTAGAATATGCCACATAAATGCACATACTCTTCCTTGTTGTAAAGGCCACTTCTAACAGGAAATCCATTGTCTTGTACAACATCCGTGGTTTTCTCAGTATTCCTGACTCGATGCAACCCTCCAAGCTCCCCTTGTTACCTGTATACTATGGCAGGGGACTCCCATGTGACAGTTTTGGTTTTTGGAATTTAGTCGTTTACACTAGATTTTACTACCTGTAGATATGTGTACATGGGTGGATGAGGCTCAACAGATCCTTCATCTTTCAGTCTTATACATCCATTCAAACAGAAAGAACAGTGCTGCACACTTCCAAATACAAATATTAAATACTGTTTACAACTTTAGCATGTTGTTCATCCTTATGCAAGTCTCACTCTAGCTGTTTCGCTTGTTAGCCATGTCTCAGGCATACCTGGCATCTACTGATTTTTTTCCTCTGCTCCTGCCCTTCCTTAAGAGTTCCTGACAGGGGGGCTGATGCAAACTGCAATTCGGGCATCACTGTTGTTAGCCAGAAACTGTATTCGTTGGCAAAAAACTGACACGTTCCCCGTTGACCCTGGCATTCGATGAATGGTGCTGATCTGAAGTCTTCCAGGCAACTTCCTGGTGACATAAGAGACTGTCCACCACCCTGATCACCAGATCCAGTGTGCTGGAAAGAACAAGGAAAGAACTTGATAACTGTGCATGAAAAAATAGGTAAATTATGTTAATCTGTCCTTTTCTGACTTTATTTGCTTTTAACTGCACTATTTTTGGTGATCTTAAGTTGGAGTAAGCTTCCGTTGCTGGAGAAAATCTTAATTTGCTCTGCAAGGAGTTAATCTCAAAAGTCTAGAGTCACTTATTTTTCTGGTATTTATCAAACTGAAGGAAAAAAGTAATCCAAGTGGATTCTACACAACGCTGTTCTCTAAACTAGTGCAAATGTAACTAGAAGATGGCATTAAAAAAATCTGGATCTCTAATTCTGAAACGTGTGTCTTTGTACTTGAAAAATCCCATTGTTTATTAAAGACAAGCAAGCAAAATCTCTGTAAATTTAAGAAATGTATAGCTTAAGGCTATGACTTCAGTATATACAGCTACAGCCAGGTTCTGCAATTTGGAACTAACCCTCGTCTTGTTTCTTTTTGTGAATTTTCCTTCTTAATGCTTGCTACATATTGGATAGTTTGCTTTTCAGAGCTAAAAATCTTTGAACCTTTAGAACAGAAGAGCTGTATGAAAGAAACAGATGATCATGTGTGCAGACTCTTACCATCAGGAAAGAATATCCGATCCAAAGACTTCTCCAGTTCACGGGACAGGGAGGAATTGACTGATCTTGGCTGTGAACTGCTACCGCTTGGGCTGGGGCCTCGCATACAGCACATCTGCTTATATATGGCTGTATTTCTTCTTCAGAGAGCGGCGTCATTGGTAAAGGAGCTGCACTTGACAACCAGTAAGACTTATCATTTCGACTGGCATAGTAACAAACTTGGTTGATATTACAGTAAGCAAAGGGCATGGTATTAAACACAGGAAGACAAGATCCTGCCAGACCTGAAAATAATAACAAATTATGAAAATTACACCACTTCTTTCTCGGTAAGTTGAAATAGCATTCTGGCCAATGATGCTGCAAAACTATATATCCTAACAGCAGTTATGTAATTCACAGATCTTAATCCTCCCAGGCTCTTTACCAAAATGGCTAGTTATATTGAAAACAAAAACTCTTTTTAACAATAAGTATCCCCCTCTGACTAATAATATTTGTGTCACAATCCAGTATTTAAACATGATGTAGTTTGTCACCATGTGAAACAGTTATGGTAACAAATTTCTTAGCTGTGCCAACGCTGAAAAATAAATTAGGCAAGAGGTGGTGGCTGGTTTCAAAGGAGATTAGCTATTTACAAACTCATTAGGAGCAGTGAGAAACCAAATGCCGATGCTGATAGAAAGTACATTTTTGTGAAGTATGACAAGCCGTTGCTACCAGTGCATTAAGCTGAAATCTCAGCAGCTGTTCTGCTGCCTTCCAGAAAGGTTTCACAGACTCTCAAAGTGAAATAAAAGGATTGAGGGGTTTTGTAGAGCCAATCCTGAGAACTTTTCATCAGGCAGACATCAGTGAGAATTAAGAAGGGACTAAGTCATACTTCAGAGATTAAATTCTTCTCCTAGAACTGAATTTAGAACAGTTTCATGATGACCTATTTAGTTAACAATAATAATCACTGTGTATAGAATCATAGAATGGTTTGGGTTGGAAGGGACCTTTAAAGGTCATCTAGTCCAACCCCCCTGCAGTGAGCAGGGACATCTTCAACTACATCAGGTTGCTCAGAGCCCCGTCCAACCTGACCTGGGATGTTCCCAGGGATGGGGCATCTACCACCTCTCTGGGCAACCTGTGCCAGGTTCTCCCTTGAACTTTGGGCATGATGTATTATTTCTGTAATGCCCCAAAACCCTAGATCCTTCTTTAAAGACATGTTGACATTTCTATACATGTTTATCATGTTTTGTTTATCACTGATAATATTCCATTCCAGTAATAATAAAGGATCTGGAGTAGCCTAAGTAAGGAAAATGCCTGCAAAAGATCACACTGGTCACAGGGAAACAAGAATTTTATTCTTTGAATCTTATTTTCACTGCTGTTTTAAGGCATTCTGTTAACAACTGGCTCTCTTGGGGAATGCCAAATAGTGAAAACACTTCAAAACTACACTGCTGTACTAAAAGTATCTCTTTTTATTACTCTTTTAAACACTTGTTTTTTGTGCAGCTTATTAAGTCCTTGATCTTTCCTCCTAGGAGATTGTCTGCCTCTTGTATAACAAGATGACAAGAATTTAGGAAAGTTCTTCTATGCAAATTGCAGCCAATCAGTTTCTCAGGCTACGAGTTAGGTTGCTTATTTAGACAGCTAACTTTAGTCAGAACTGTAGAAGACTTAGAAGAAATGACCCAAGACACCAAAAGGAGCTGTCTTTTGGAGAAACTTGTCTGTCTTTTCCAAAAAGTATTAGCTTCTGACTCTGGAAAGCACACGGTTCTGCTGTACACATGATGCAGAATTTTACTTGTAAAGCTTCTTTATACTATCCAACCGGAACCATCTAACTTAACCAGCTTTTTCTCCCAAGATGCCTCTACACTAAAAAGGAGAGGATCCTCCAGGAAGTTATTTGAGTGGCCAAATAAGATTCCTGATCTAGGAAAATCTCTCCAGTGAGTTCAAAGACAGCCCTAAATGACTAGTCAGGATGAGTGAAACAAACCACTCATCTCTCCAACTTATATTCAAAATTACTTAGAGGTAGAAATACTTTTTTTGTTCAATTGCATAGCAGCAGAAAGCCCTTTTTAACTGGGTCACATAACAGGGCATAACCAAGTTCATTATGATCAGTGTAAATTAGTTTTCAGCCTGTAGAAAATAAGTAATTGATGATTCTATATTGTGCTTCACTTGACTTGTCTTTCATCCTGTAGATTCCACCATACTAGACCTTAACTAGAGCACAATTATGTACTACGATACATACCAAGATCCTGATTATGAGCTTTCTCTTGTCCTTCCAGGTAGAGCAGACTATAGCCAGTCCATAATTTTGGCATCCCCTGTGGACAGAGTGGTTCTCTGTCTGACTGACTGTGAAGAACGAGCAAGAATCCACTCGCAGATCTAATATGGGGGCCTGGTGGTCCTGGGATACCAGTCTGGCCAGGTGGACCTGACACATAGGAGAAAAGGTAAAAGAAATTAACTTGCATAGATACAAAGCTAGTGTGAACTTTTATCTTTTACTGTATTTAAGTGTTCAGTAGGGGGTTCCTGACTGAATATAATACAGCTTCAGCAGCTGTCATGTGCAATGAAGACACCAGTAGACTCATGTTATCCTTCTTACGGGAGAGAACTGGACTAGCTTGCCACTGCATGCTTGACAGTTGGATCTTCTATTGTGCCTCTGTCCTGTGCTGTATGGATTAAGACATGAACTGAGGTGGACAATGATTTCCCAGACTTACTCACTAGGATGACTTGTCTGGACTGAAACTGAATCTCTGCAGTAACGGTTCATGTCCTTTCCTCATAGAGGCATTAAGCCATTAATTTATTAAACAGCACACGCAGTTAAAATACAATTTTAATTACTCAGAGAGTTGCATCATTAGTCCCGACTCTGAAATGCATGCCTACTGATATATGGTGTTTTAAGCATGTGTGGCTAATTGCCTTTCTGGTTAATACGGATGCTGAGAAAATTTTCTTCCAATAGGTCTTTTTATGTGTTATGCAATCATTCACAAATGTTGCTATCAGTGCTTGAACTGACAGGGGAAAGAAGTGTTGTGGTATCTCAGGCTAGAGGCGGGTGTATCCATGGGTGAATTGGGGGAGTAGAAAAAGTCTATACATCAACTCACACATCCCTCCCCCAAAAGCCATGTTCCATTCTTACCTTGCGGCCCAGTGTATCCTTGCTCTCCTATATTCCCTTGGTCACCTGGTGGTCCAGGTGCCCCTGGTAATCCATCTTGACCTGGCAGGCCACATGACCCTTCTTCACCTTTTCTTCCTAGACAAATACAAAGTATACGCTTTCCCTTCATACGGCTGCAGTTAAAGGTTTTACATTGTCCAAACGTGCGCAGCATGCAAAGGGCCAGTCAGCAGAACTGACACCACCAAGAAATGACACTTCAGGACAGAGAGGTGCAGAACCGCCTTCTGCTGGGAATTCTCTTTACAACTTCCTCTCCTTGTGACCACAGTAGTAGCTCAGAGGCACAACTTTAGAAATGTCAACTGCTGATAAGGTTTTATGTCCTTTCTACAGGACTTGTGGGATTTACAGATGAAATCAAACCACTAACAAACACTATCATGACAAGCCTGTGGCAAAATTGCCGTCAGTATCTGTACCATGTAATGAGTTACAACTCATCCTAGGGCAGGACAACTCATCCTACAGCAAAGTCTTTAAATGTGTACTGAACTTCCTGTGAAGTAACGCATGCGTTAGAGCACTTACAGAACGGGGAGGCACTGCGGAACTGCACTACATCCCCCACCCAGCGGGGAAGGGTAAAGACACTTTTGGCTCTCGATGGCCTCACCTTTTGATATTGCTTATATGTACATGCATTTTTATACGTTAGTAGATAACGAGGTGCGGCCATCACAGTAAAAGATACGTCTCACTATCTGTGCCCTGTATACGATGGCCCCTTTGACTGGCTGCTTTAAACATCTGAATTGAAAGAAGTTACACTTGTCAGATGTTATTGCACTCAGCAGTGTTGTTCTTTTGCTAAAAAAGTCTTCAGTTGAGTATGCTTCTCTAGCAGCACAGTTGTTTCTCACTAATGGTGTGTGTTTCATTCCTTGCAAATTTTGCTATTTAACCTGCAGACTAAGTAATTCAAAGTTGTCTCACAACATTCAAAATTTCCTCATGCTACTTTTTACTAGATTCATTAAGAAACTCTAAACCAGTCAAAACAATTTATCAGCTTTTCAATGTTGGTTGCATAGTTACTTTGCCAAAGCTCAAGTGTGCTGAAGTTTTAGTAATATGCATCGCTTTTGCCAATAAAACCTCCAGTTTGCCTTCCAAGCTGGGAGAAAATTGGAATTCTGCTATCTTAATGAAAGGAAAAGCATTACTAAGTGTTTCTTTCACAAAACCAGTGTGAGTATGTATCATAGTGTCATCTGTTTTTACAGAAATTGTTTTAATGCTGTATATAATGGAAACACACAATTCAACCCCAGAAACACCTTTTAGTTGGCAAATCAACTAAGATGAGTAAAACTAGATGTCATTCCCCTCATGGAAGCGAGGGATATGTTACTGCAGGGAATCTCCTGGGAGAAAATCATGGATTTGCTTTCTGGAGACACTGGATGTCCAGTGCAACCACCACAACAAACTTCGGTTTCCCAAGTAGGAAACATCTAAAACTACGTGAGGGATTCCACTATCTAAACTGAGGACACCACATTTAGACACAACCAACACAGACAAGCTATGCTGTGTTTCTGTGAAGGTGGCTGTGTGTTGGAATGATCAATACCAGCATCACCCTTGTTTTCTTTTTGTCTGTCAGAAGAATGTTTCAGTCTTTCATCACTTCTTTTTAAGATCTCCTTGGCCAGTTTTCTTGTGGTAACTTTTTCATGTTCGAACAGATAAAAAGCACTATTGTAGCTGCCTCTGACTTCAGTGTCCTTTTAGGACTTTGGTTAGCAAAGCTTTTTGTCATTTATTATAGCTAAATTTTAAAGCATGGGTATTTTTAACATCCTCCAAATATAACCTGTCTAAACAATAGGAGTGGTTTGAGGCATTGCTTTTTCATTTGTTGGTAAAAAGGAAAAATACCATTTGAGGAATTCTTTTCTTAACAGTGCAAGATGCTTTTGCCCTCCATGGCCTAGAAGAAAAGCATGCAGTGCAGGCAGGCTCAAGTAGCCTGGTTCAGCTATATTGATCCATCCTCCTCAGCATTAACCAGCCCACTATGTCTTTCTGGAGAGTGTTAGTAAGTGTTTAAGGGGAAGAGACAGGGTAGAACACAGAGAAGTCACAGTGACACTCTAACTCTTTCCAATTTGTTGTCTAAATGGCTAAAATAAACATCCAAGCTTTCAAAACATAAGCTCACCTTGGGGGCCGGGGTGGCCTATTGGTCCTGGCAATCCTACAGAGCCATCGTCTCCTCTTTGTCCTGCTTCGCCAGGAGGCCCTGGGATTGCAGGGCATGAATCATCTATTTTTCCTGGTTCACCAGGGTCACCTGGAATGTGTAATAGGAAAGTAAATTAGACAGAAGATTGGTTAATAGCTCCCATGTGAAAAATCAATGTAACTGTTAGCTGGTTTTGGTATTCAAGTGTATCTTTCAAGTATTTTAAAATTTTGAATTATTGAGTCTCACTGCTTTTAATTTTACTTAGTCTTTTAGCACAGCATTTAAGAGCATGGCAAGCATGTGTTGGCAAGTATATGCTAGCTTGTATGTTACAAATATTTTGTGTACAGTTTCTGTCTTGATGTGCCCCAAACTGATTTGAGTTAAAGCCTAAAGTCTGCCCAACTTGAGCACAAAGACCTTAGCATATATGAAGATTTACAGTACTTTGCCTATTCTGTGGCTGCAAAACCATCAATAAGCAGGCTAAAGAAGCTAACCCGCAATGTGCATTTAAAGTAATTAGAATACTAAAAAATAAAGAATGGCCACATTTTATGAATTGAAAGCTACTGGCTATTTGCATTTTGGAACAAAATCAGAATTGCATCAATTTAGTCAGATTAAGAGTTCAGTGTTCGTAGTAATCCGGTGTTAGGATTCAAGCTTTCGCTAAGTTTTTGCTTAGAAAGCATCTTGTGTGACAACCAGAAAACCAAAATTATAATTTGAAACAAAAGTATTTCACAAGTCTAATTGACATCACAGCATGAGACTTCTAAATGTAGCTTTATCATGATATTGGTCTGCTTGGAAGTGCTAGCTATTTATGTGAAAAATCTATTAGAACTATGTTGTTGTAGCAGTATCTACTGTTCCTAGCAGCCCAGCCAAGAACACCTAATAAGAGTGGAATGTATCTTTACAGAAAGAAGCCCACTTGAAAAGAACAATAATCAGTAGTCATGGACTTACCTATGAAACCTGAAGGATTTGAAAAATGGAAAGCAGATTGCGGCCATTGTGGTGCAGGTGGAAACAAGTTTCAGGCATGTAAATTAGAGTAAAGCATGGAATGAGAACTGAAATCACTTACATGGGGTGACATTAGAAACAAATACATAGTTCAGAGATTTTTAAACAACTCAAATGAGAAATCAATAAAGTTGTTCTTTTTCTGATATTGTTTAAATTGTCTGTATGCAAGTAAACATTAGTAAGATTATGTACAAATAGGAAGATCATGATTACAATTCAGTGACAATGAGCAACAGGTTCATAAATACCTGTGGGACCTTTGGGACCAGGTTTTCCATGAAAACCTTGGTCTCCTGGTTGTCCTACAGCACCAGGTGGACCCTGTGGGCCATGGATTCCCATAGGACCTGGAAAGAAAACAGTTGTGCAGTTACATGTAGTTGTATTCTGAGATGGTGAACATGTAAATCTTGGTTGCTTGAGTGAGGAAAAAATGCTTGGGACAGCCCAACTCTGTTGTCTCCCAGAAAGAAACGCACGTTTTACTTTTCTCTCCCTGGTCTTGCACTGAATTAAAATTTGTTACTTTTCTTTTTGTAGAGATCAGAAGGGATTTGTGTAGATAGGAATTCTCTACAGTGTGTGGAAGAAGCAGGGTATCTGGATGTCCAGATCTCTGTTTTCAAACTAGAGAATCTGTTGAAAGCCCAAAGCTATTGATATGGGGCAGATGTGAGATTCCCTGTTTGTTCAAAGACATCTGCATCTTCCATAGTTTCTCAAGACCCTGACAGAGAGGTGAAGTTTTGCTTTATCTGGCAGACTTGGAAGTTTTACTGCCTCATTCTCAGGTTGGTAGGGGAGTTGGTAGGGGAGTTCCAGCAAGTTGTTGGAAGTGGTACACATGAATCTGGCTCTACTCTGACATTCTGCCCCAGACCTATCTTATCTATAGGTAACAGGGCAGAGCTATGAAACATCCAGCCTACTGCTTCTGTCTGTCTCAGTCTCCAATGGCAATCCCCTGTGCGGAAGGCTCAGTTGCATAGGGCTGGGCATAAGTGCACATGCTAGTTAAAAACGTCTCAGATCATACCCTTTGGGCCTCCTCTTCCTTGGTTCCCTGGAAGACCTCTGGCTCCTTGTTGCCCTCGCTGCCCAGGATTACCTGGTGCCCCTCGAAGACCAGTATCGCCTGGATCTCCTCGCACAAAGATGGTCTCTCCAGGAGGACCAGGATTCCCAGGCTGACCTACAGTAAAAGAACTTTATTCTTAACATCTGCACGAAGCATAAACATCTAAAAATAGCCATGTTCTATTGGTTTTTGGTTTTGTTTGTGTTTTTTTTTCTCCCAGGACATAGGACAACCCTTGCATGTCTTTGGAAATATTGCCATATGATAGTAGGGAAAACAATAATAGGAATAGCTCCAAAAACTATGTAGATTTGTGCAAGCAGAGGTGGCAAGTTAATGTTACATACGTTGAGACACTGTTCCTCTATATTACAGTGTTGCTTACCCTTCCAATCTCCATGCCCTATTTCCAAATAGGAAGTAAGTCTCTGCACTGGGTGAGGAAGGGTTCAGGTAATACTTAATGTAAGGGGTCAGAACAACTTGAAAGAGCTCCATCTGAGGACCAGAATCTATAGGAATTGACTGGATTCCTTGGCAACCCCTGCTTGTAGCAGAAGTGAGGTCTACATAAATGCTTACAAAAGAGTTGCCAGCTTTAGCTTTCCTAAGGCTGGATTTGGATTGGAAAGCTTTTTGTGGGTTTACCAACAACAGTAGGCCTCTGGACAATGTGTTTTATCCTTCTTGCTAGGAAGACAGGCCAATAATTTTATTTCTATTTGCTTCTGTGGAAATTGAGATATTTTGTAGCAGCAGGACTTGTACAGAATTACCCTACTCAGAAAACTGAATCTGGAGAAAGTATTTTATCTTTGCTCTGGTGATCTCTCCACTGTTCACTTCTCTGTGCGTTCACTGAGGTGTTAATTGGTTTCTTTGTTCCCTACATACTTTGTACATTGTTCCACAGACAGCAACCCAGTGATTCCTAGTAGCCTCAGGGGCCTTTTCCATGATCAAATTTGGTATTTTTGGTTTTAATACCTCTGGTGCCATCTAAACCAGGTGGTCCTTGATCACCCGGAGGACCAGGAGAAGCACTATCAGGAGATCTTCCCATAGGTCCAGTGGGTCCAACAGGTCCTCTTCTACCTAAGGGATCACATTTTACAAAAAAAACCAAAAAAAACCCCACCCCACCCCACCCCAAAAAAAACCAAACAAAAAACCAAAAAACAATCTGAGGTTGTTTAGATTACAGAAATAAGTTGCTAACTAAAAGAACGCTGATGTGAGGTCATGGAGGTAATGTATGCTCTCACTTGTATACTGAACATACCAGTGATTAGGCTAATGAAGACATCTTGTAGAATCAAAAATATTTGTTATCTTTTAAAATTTTTAATTCTTTCCATAAAACCTACTTAAACTGAAGAATGCATCATCACACGTTGGCATATTGCCACAAATAGCCACCTTCTCCTGAATTCTAACAATGGGAGAAATGGTTAAAATGTAGGACGAGTGGGGACTGAAATCATTCTGCCTGGGACAGGGTAAGTATTCACAGATTACTCTTAGCAAAAGTGAGTTCAGCTGTTTCCTAAAAACCTCAGTGAACAAGATGACCTTACTAGCCTTAAATGTATTTTTTTTCCTAATTTGTAATCTGTTTTTTTTGAAAATAAGACATTAGTGCTCTTACATGTGACAGGCAGGAATAGTTACAGGTTATCCTCTGCATAACACTTTTGAATAGTCACAGCTTGTTAGCACATGTTGCATGTTGCACTCTGCCTTCTCTTTTCTACAAAAAAATCTAGTTTCTTCAGTCTTGTTTTCAACCCCATCCTTCCATTCATCTCTAGTGAGTTCTCCCTAATTTGTCAAAGCTGGGTGCAGTGTACCATGGGAGGCCTTGCACATCCCATGTCAAGCAGTGTTAATACATTTTAGAATGAAACTTATCTTTTTTTCAACAGCACCATTCTGTGGATTCCCCCAGTTCACGAACTAGTAACTGAATTGAGAAAAATGACTGTGTCTCCATCTTAGAATAATTCACCTCAGCAGAGTTCACCTCTGCTATTTTTCTTCTGTGTGATATGTGACTCTGTGGCAACGTTTGGTAGAGTAAAGCTACTGCAAGTTCTAATCACAGAATTGCTGAGGCTTGAATGGGCCTCAGGAGACTCTCTAGTCCAACCCCCTCCTCAAAGCAAGGTCAGCTACAACATGTTGCCTAGGACTCTGTCCAGCTGGCTTTTGAGTATTTCCAAGGAGGGGCACTTCATAACTTCTCTGGGCAACCTGTTCCCGTATTCAGTTACCCTCACAGGAAAACTAAACTTTTCCTTATATTTAGAATTTGCCATATGTCAGTTTGTGCCTATCACCTCTTGTCCTGTCACTGGATACCACTATGAAGAATCTGTCTCCAGGTCCTTTCCATCAAGTACTTATACACACTGGTAAAATCCCCCTGGGCCTTCTCTTCTGGAGCCTGAGCACTTCCCACTCCCCCAGCCTCTTCTCATATGACAGATCTCTTAACCTTCCTAGTGGCCCTTCCTCAAACACTTGCTTTTTCTTACTTCTATGCAATTCCTGTATCACCAAGGCTCTTAAATAATCATAGCAATCTTGTGATACAGTTCCATCTTGCATTTACATCAGAATAACTGGTAAGATTTACTATATGACTACCAGATCTTCTGTACTCAGTCTCTTCAGGAATTTCTTCCCAAGAGGCAATTCCACCTAGCAGTTCCCTGAATCTGTCCAAGTCCATCATTTTCTATTCACGTTCTTTCCTCTCCTGTAACATAATGAACAAGAAATACTGGGGTCTCTATCTACACAGGAAACATCAACATGTTATTGCAACAGAAATGTTTTTAGGTAGGGAATCTTCTGGGTATGTATTAATGTTCATACTAACCAGGGGAAGAGCCTGTATGAACTTCGTTTCAACTTGGCGGGGAGAGAAAGGAGAAAACCCATTCTTACCTGGGAATCCTGGGAATCCCTGTTCTCCAGGGGGGCCTGGAATAGAAATACCAGGCCATCCAGGTTCACCTCTGTCTCCTTTTGGTCCAAGTTCTCCTGAGTATCCTGGGGGCCCTGTTTCACTTTGACCTTTACAGGAAAACAATTATGTACATAAAGCTTACAGTGAGTACAAATACAGATGTGCAGAATAGAAATATCAGCTGCAGATGTTCGTCCTTGCAAGGGTTGCCTAGTGCTATTTTTCTGGTTCTCTCTTGGAAGCTGGAGTTTTGTTGAATCTGGCCCTAATTCATCTCTTTCAAAGAAAGTAATCTCTTTGCTTTAATGCTCTTCTTCAGGGGTTATTTTATATGGTGTCATTATTGTCTGTAGGTTGAAATGTTGACATTTGTTAGTTTATCTTTTACATATAAAAAAACCTGGAGATTTGGCTCTACTTTGAATCATCTGCACTGAACATCTTCATTTTATAAACAGCCTTGAAAGGTTCCAACAAAACTATGAGTAATGAAGTTTTAATGTTTTCCCCACAAATAACTGCAGGTGTGTCATTAGGCACACTTTAGATTCTGTTTGAAAGTTTAGTCTAAGCGTTAATGATATCTTCTGGGCAAGGCAAATATCAAAATAACGTGCATCAGTCCTTGCACATTCAGTCATTTAAGAGACTTTCTGTTCCACATAGCTATTTCCCTTCTTTACCTGGAGCTCCTGCAGAACCTTTTTGACCTTTTAGTCCATCCAAGCCGTCCAGTCCGGGCAGTCCAGGAAGACCTGAGAGGTATTACAGGCATGACGGCGTGCCACAATAGTCCTTCAAAGTCACAATTAAAAATAGTGCCTTTTTTTTCTGACAATGCATTCTGACTCAAGACAGGGTGTTTGTAGAATTTGATTCTTACTGGCAACTGAAGATGAGATCACATTGCACCTGAGTGCTGTCTTTTTGGCAAGGAAAATGTGAAAAATATGAAAATAGCAATCATAATACAGTTTCATATCAAAGCAATCAGAAAACATAACTTTTAATCCTTTAGGCAATATTTATACTGCAGCAGGAAGCTCAGTATGGGCTAATTTACTCTCTAGTGAACCTTGTGTCTTTGGCTAGACTACTACTGCTACATGTGATTAACTAGTCCAAAGTTAGCTGTATTATCACTACCAGGTGACTGGGATGCAGACACTACCTAAAGTAACTGTAAAGCTGGAACTTCTTTACAGCTTCTGTTCGAAATGTAAGTGCATTTTAATCTAGCTGCACTAGAGAGAAGCTAAATTTTTACCTAGTGACTTTTCCCTGCTCCTGCAGATTTCACACAGCAAACCATGCTTTTTTGCATCGTGCTACTACAAAAATTCTTTAAACTGAACAGCACAGTCTTTGAAGACAGTGAATCTGTAATTAAGACCTATGCTGACATGTAATAGCATACAGCAGCTTTGTCACTAGTGATGTCACAGTCACAGGCTGAGTGTTCATGGTAATCAGATATAACTTTTGCTTTATAATATGTGCTTTTTGAAAATTGCTAAAACACAGTAAGTAAAAATATAAATGGCATTTTTTATCTTTTTTTTTTTTTAGTTTTTAAATGAGATTGTGTTTGTTGTTTGCCGTGGAGAGTATAAATGTACCATGTCATTAGCACTTTATAGTTTCCTAAGTTGTACAGATGAAGACGTACACTTATTAAACGCAGATGGCAGCCTATCACCTGGTGTTAAGAACAGATCTGGCAAAACTGATGGGTCATTTGGTAACAGGTTTCAAGGAGGCTTCAGACAGAGGAATAGATTTGGAATGCTTCTTGCTCCAGAGAGGGAGAGATTTGAGTGGTCGCTGATCATCAAGAGAAGTTGAACACCACTGTCGGTGCCTATTCCTGTCTTTTTTCCACCATAGCTGCTTATCTCTGCCTAACTTCCTCTCCCGCTGGTTCCTCTCCCTGCTGTGTAGGATTCCCAGTCAAGTTGCAGTGAATTTTTTTTCCCCAAGTCTGAATTGTCTTTCTGTCTGTCTCCTTTTCCCTGTCTGGCTACTTCCTGGCATAGAAGACGTAGGTTCTTCGATTCAGTTCCCGTGCTTGATCCCAGCATGTCCTGCAGCACACGAATCTGCTATATATCCAAAGCATGAATCATGGGAGAATTTATTGCTCTACTTAAGGGCATATGAATGGTGTGTTGGGTTTTTTTTTAAGTTTATAAGCTGGTCAAATTTGGCAGGGACAAACTGCTGTAGGAACAGCAACACAAATGCCCTTCATCAAATGCTTTGCCTTTTAAAAGTCCCTAGTTCAAAGATGGGTCATCTGAGAAAGAGAACTCTAGTGCCCTTTTATTTTTCCTAACAGACACACCAAAAATAATAATCCCACAGCTTTGTTCTCAGAAACTGTTGAATTGTTTTAGTTAAAATTTAACAATGGAATGAAAAGAAGGGGGGGGGTGGGGGGCACGGGAAATCCAGCCTGTAGCAAACACGGGTCTGGAAAGATTTTAAATAGAGAAGATTGATTGAAAACCTACAAGACATTGATAATATACTCTCTATGTAATCCACTTTACCATATGGGATACTAGTAATCCAACCTGTAATATCTTCTGTGCTGTTAATTA